TAAGCTCTTTAGTGGAGCTACGCCGGAGCAAATGTGCACGTGTGAATGCTCGACTGGATTTGTTTCGGAGCTGCGTCGGACCAAACGTTGGCATGTGAACGGGGCTTAATTCATGCGTGATCGGCCAATTAGTGCTCAGACTTCATGGGTGTGCACACAAGTTGCCGTTTAATGCCACGGCCGTAATTATATATATATATATATATATATATATATATATATTTTTTTTTCGGAATTTTCAGAAAAGTCCACTTTCATCTCTGCTCGACGTACTTTGCATATGTGGATCTTCTGCTTGGATTCCAGCGAGTCAATTTATTCCCCTGCCTTGTCGACCATGTGCCTCTCCTGCAGAGAATGAGTGGAGCCGTTCTGGCCAGGATGCAAGTCGGCTGTGTTAACTCCCACAACAGCGCAAACTCCTGTTTCTAACTGCAGGTGTCTACAAAAATCCCAAAAGAAAGATAACTCGATCCCGTGCGCACAGACCGCGCTTTGCTCTAGATTTGCGCCAGGCACTTAATATCAAAACCAAATGTTCATAGCCCATGAATTAGCCTCACCTTTCCAATATTTTTGACGAGTGACTATGTCTCGTTTCGACATCATCATTGTGATCGTGTATGTTGAAGTGGTAGCCATTATTTCCACCTAAAATCTACCTCAAACCGGCAGGTGGCCCAAGCCCGATGCAAACCCACGCAGATGCTCTCCAATGTGCCCACGCAAACACACGCGCGCGCCGCGCACATACACGCACACACACACACACACACACACACACACACACACACACACACACACTCCCAAACTGCATGCACACTGCTACAAAGCTGAGTTCAACATTGCCGTACTAGAATATACACGTCCCTAACACATAAGTGCATACGCATTTGCAAGAGGCTTGATTTTGTATCCAGCGGGATGCAAATCAATCGCTTTGTCGAGGTGGGCTTCTCCTCGCCCATACAAATGAATTGCGGCATTAGATGCATTAATGCTTGCTGCTCATGAATATGCATCAGGCTGTAATGTTCACCATATAAAGATGATTCCAAATGTCTCTGCTCTATTCTTAAATATAAACACAGAAAATGTCACAGTGGATGTCACTCACACACTGACACGTCCACTGTACTATATCAGGTCTAGACTTTGTGTGGTCATGTTAATGACATTTACACATCCTCACGTCGCTCTGGGAAGGCAAGGGTTACATCTGAAGGATCTGAGCCTGTTCCTACCAGCCAATTTCCAAGCATTTTTTTTTCCAATGCTATTTTAATCATTTAAAAAAGCTGCCTTTTTATGGAAGCGTTTCCACTGAAGCTTTCCAGTAGAGCAATCCCCAGCAGTAGTTTATGATCTTACCTGTTCCATTGAAATGTTAATTAAGGTCATTCTCGCCCTTGAAAGTGTAGAAATGTGCCGACTGCAAAGATCTTAAATGTAAATGCTAAATAATTGTGTTATGTAGATGAAAGCACTTTCTGGATCCATTTTTTGCTCACGTTTATATTCCAGATGGGAGCAAACGTCACCTTAATCTCAGATTTTGCTCGACCAACAGTTTGTTTGGTCGGACACTAAACATGGGTGGTCGCAATTATCAAGTAATTATTAAATGTGTAATGCAGGACAAAGATATTTGGAAGAGTCCTCTTACATTATGTAACCTTCGCTTCAGGTATGGGTCACAAATTCTTCATGCGTCTTGGTATATAGAAGAATGAAATCTAGTGTATATTAAAAACGTACAACTTTATAAAATAAAACATAAATGTGAGATAACCTTATCAGTCACATTGACTACTGACTCTTGTTGCAGTTACGACAATATTCAACCCGGCGCCAGCTATCCCTGACTTGGATCCTGATTTCTATCGACTCTCTGATGTGTTTTGCTGCAATGAGTCTGAGGTGATGAATCACACTTTTCTTTTTTTTTTTTCCCCAAGCAATTTGCATTCATTATTCCTGGCCATTACTTGACAGTTTAACTTTGCCAAACATTATGAAATTGTCAGACTTTTGGTCATCATTTGAGCATCCAGTTACAATGTAACTGTTATTGTACGTTATCAATCGAGAAGGATCTGTGTAGCCCCGGGAGGTTCCACAGAGCCCACACATGCATACACCTTTCCACAGTGATTCACCTTCAGTCTATATCCTGTATCGTGACCTCTTCTAGCGCATCAATAGCGTCACTGTATCCTTGAAACGTAAAGTACATGCAAACATTCTGGTGTGACAATGGGAATCGGGATCTCCGCCCTTTTACAGTCATGGTACAGTACCTCACGTCTTGGCTGTGGGGCGATGACAGATGAGTGAAAGTGGGTGTGTTTTGCTGGGCATTGCAATGACAAAAACAGAGCAGATGTGCTTTTTGGGTGAGTCAATCACCCTTTGGGAGTTCATATGAACTGCTATTTGATGTCGTGTTGCAGAGCAGAAAGACCACATGCGGCCAGGTGTGTGGACATGAAAGGGGCGGTGGCGAGAAGAGTAAAAACCGCAGCAGTCACGTTAAAGTGGAGCGTGCAAGGGTGGAAAAAAAATATTTGAAGGAAAAAATGTACTGTGTGAAGAGATGCCCAAGTGTTCCAGTTTGTCCGTATTTTGTTACGAGCAGCTGCCATATGTTCCCCTGTTACGGAGCGAGTAGCGCTTGACTCATTTGTACCACAGCTTGTGATTGGCTGACAAAATTTGTTGATGATATCATTGAATTTTCCTCATTATAAAAATAATTGTATTCAAGTGCATCTGATGGTAAAGGTTGCTCCTTCAGCTCCGCAGCAGCTGCAGGTTAGCTAAAGTGGCAAAACACTGTGCACACCGTCTCCTCTAAAAGTCACTAATCATTGCCCTCATCACAGCAATTTTCGGACTACAAAACACACTTGATTAAAAGCCATAACAGCTAAATTTAGCCATTTGTACCAATTCATACATTGACTGCTTCATACTAATAGTCGCGGGGCTCCACGTTCTAACATGGCAAAGAATTGAGGTCACACAAAAGGATTTTTTTCAAA